GGTGTTCAATATCGCAAAGGTATTGCCCTATCCACGACTGGTCAGCAGAAACCCTGTCAGGAATGTATCGTTGCGTTTTTTCATTGTTTTACATCTGATAAGATTGTGCTATTAAAATTTGTGATAACGCAGCGATCAATGTTCATCTCTGACCAGTAGGTTTCAAGGACAGCCAAAGTGCAATGATACGAAACGATTTTCAGGGAAATGCAAAAGCAAAAATAAAAGCGAAAGAAGTATTTTCTGGGAATATTTCATGTGGTATTTTAACAATTTATCTGGATACTTTTGAATATCGAATAGAAGTAGAAGAGTCTCTAAATGAGACCCGATATGTTTTTTCTCGATGGAAAGTTGCCTTGCCAGCTAGATCTCTATTTCATGTACTGGAGCCGGTGGACGATTAGAACTATGAGCACAGTCCGGCTAAGGGTGTGAAAATTTGCACTTTCGTTTCTTCCTATTGTCGCGCTCAATTTCACCTTATGAACATATTCCGCGTTGAGCAAATGGGCGTAGACAAATGAACATTGTGCTCTCTCATCACTTCTCTTAAGACGATCTAGAGCAAAGGCACCTGAAAAAGCAGCAATATTTATGGCTCGTCGCCCATCTGCTCATCGCGGAATATGTCGTTGATTCTTAGACATTTTGGGAAGATTCAAGGACCAAACTAGTATTGTGAGGAGTTTGTGATCTTTGGCGTCCACTTCTTTTCTGTGCCACAGATTTCCTACCTCTCACTACTAAGTGGAAAGCGCCCGTTGCTCGTCCCATAGTGAATCATTCTTTTCACCCAATCACTTGAAAATTATTGCCTCGTTTAGCTAAACGGAGCTTTTCAGCTGTTCGCGCCAGGAAAGTTGTTGTACATTGCCGAGGATGAGAGTTTGGAGAATGGAGTATCGAGTCAATGGATTGATCCTAAGTGAGTTATTGTTCAGCCTGTTGGCCCTTGTTTACAGTAAGCCAGCTCCAGAACACATTCCTCCCGGTCTACGGTCTGACCTGAGCATAATACTGATGAAGATTGAGCCCTTACAATCGTGATAGTCCTAATCCATCGTAAGACTGTACCTAACTGGCCTACGCCAATTAGGCATAGTCTTACGATGGATTAGGACTATTTTCAGTTTTTTATGTGATATCATGTCACA